GAGCACAAAGTAAGTATAATCTATAACATGCTATATAATATAAAGGAAAAATATTGAAAAAACAAAAGCGCTAAATATACTAATTTCGAACACTCTACAACAAATACGAAACGCACTGCAATTAGAACTGTCTAGCACAAAGTAAGTATAATGTCTAACATGCTATATAATATAAAGGAAAAACATTGAAAAAAAAAAGCGCTAAACATACTAATTTCGAACACTCTACAACAAATACGAAAAGCACTACAATTAGAACTATAGAGCACACAAACTAAGTATAATCTATAAATACTATATAATATAAAGGAAAATCATTGAAAACACAAAAGCGCTAAATATACTAATTTCGAACACTCTACAACAAATACGAAACGCACTGCAATTAGACTATAGAGCACAAAGTAAGTATAATCTATAACATGCTATATAATATAAAGGAAAAACATTGAAAAAACAAAAGCGCTAAACATACTAATTTCGAACACTCTACAACAAATACGAAAAGCACTGCAATTAGAACTGTCTAGCACAAAGTAAGTATAATCTATAACATCCTATATAATATAAAGGAAAAACATTGAAAAACAAAAGCGTTAAACATACTAATTTCGAACACTCTACAACAAATACGAAAAGCACTGCAATTACAACTATCTAGCACAAAGTAAGGATAATCTATAACATGCTATATAATATAAAGGAAAAACATTGAAATAACAAAAACGCTAAATACACTAATTTCGAACACTCTACAACAAATACGAAAAGCACTGGAAGTAGAACTATAGGGCACAAAGTAAGTATAATCCATAACATGCTATATAATATAAAGGAAAAACTTTGAAAAAACAAAAGCGCTAAACATACTAATTTCGAAGACTCTACAACAGATACGAAAAGTACTGCAATTAGAACTACAGAACACAAAGTAAGTATAATCTATAACATGTTGTATAATATAAAGGAAAAACATTGAAAAAACAAAAGCGCTAAATATACTAATTTCGAACTCTCTACAACAAATACGAAAAGCACTGTAATTAGAACTATAGAGCACAAAGTAAGTATAATCTATAACATGCTATATAATAAAAAGGAAAAACATTGAAAAAACAAAAGCGCTAAATATACTAATTTCGAACACTCTACAACAAATACGAAACGCACTGTAATCAGAACTGTCTAGCACAAAGTAAGTATAATCTATAACATGCTATATAATATAAAGGAAAAACATGCTATATAATACACTAATTTCGAACACTCTACAACAAATACGAAATGGACTTCAATTAGACTATAGAGCACATAGTAAGTATAATCTATATAACATGCTATATAATATAAAGGAAAAACATTGAAAAAAGAAAAGCGCTAAATATACTAATTTCGAACACTCTACAACAAATACGAAAAGCACTCCAATTTGAAGTATTGAACACAAAGTACGTATAATCTATAACATGCTATATAATATAAAGAAAAAACATTAAAAAAACAAAACCGCTAAATATACTAATTTCGAACACTCTACAATAAATACAAAACACACTGCAGTTAGACTATAGAGCACAAAGTAAGTATAATCTATAACATGCTATATAATATAAAGGAAAAACATTGAAAAAACAAAAGCGCTAAATATACTAATTTCGAACACTCTTCAACAAATACGAAAAGCACGGTAATTAGAACTTTAGAGCACAAAGTAAGTATAATCTATAACATGCTATATAATATAAAGGAAAAACATTGAAAAAACAAAAGCGCTAAAAATACTAATTTCGAAGACTCTACAACAAATACGAAAAGCACTGCAATTACAACTATCTACCACAAAGTAAGTATAATCTATAATATGCTATATAATATAAAGGAAAAACATTGAAAAAACAAAAGTGCTAAATATACTAATTTCGAACACTCTACTACAAATACGAAAAGCACTCCAATTAGAAGTACAGAACACAAAGTAAGTATAATCTATAACATGCTATATAATATAAAGGAAAAACATTGAAAAAACAAAAGCGCTAAACATACTAATTTCGAATACTCTACAACAAATACGAAAAACACTCCAATTAGAAGTATAGAACACAAAGTAAGTACAATCTATAACATGCTAAACATTGAAAAAAGAAAAGCGCTAAATATACTAATTTCAAAGAATCTACAACAAATACGAAAAGCACTGCAATTAGAAGTATAGAACACAAAGTAAGTATAATCTATTACATGCTATATAATATAAAAGAAAAACATTGAAAAAACAAATGCGCTAAATATACTAATTTCGAACACTCTACAACAAATACGAAAAGCACTACAATTAGAACTATAGAGCACAAACTAAGTATAATCTATAAATGCTATATAATATAAAGGAAAGACGTTGAAAACACAAAAGCGCTAAATATACTAATTTCAAACACTCTACAACAAATACGAAACGCACTGCAATTAGACTATAGAGCACAAAGTAAGTATAATCTATAACATGCTATATAATATAAAGGAAAAACATTGAAAAAATAAAAGCGCTAAATATACTAATTTCGAACACTCTACAACAAATACGAAAAGCAGTGCAATTAGAAGTATAGAACACAAAGTAAGTATTATCTATAAAATGATATATAATATAAAGGAAAAACATTGAAAAAACAAAAGCGCTAAATATACTAATTTCGAACACTCTACAACAAATACGAAAAGCACTGTAATTAAAACTATAGGGCACAAAGTAAGTATAATCTATAACATGCTATATAATATAAAGGAAAAACATTGAAAAAACAAAAGCGATAAATATACTAATTTCGAGCACTCTACAACAAATACGAAATGGACTTCAATTAGACTATAGAGCACATAGTAAGTATAATCTATATAACATGCTATATAATATAAAGGAAATACATTGAAAAAAGAAAAGCGCTAAATATACTAATTTCGAACACTCTACAACAAATACGAAAAGCACTCCAATTTGAAGTATTGAACACAAAGTACGTATAATCTATAACATGCTGTATAATATAAAAGAAAAGATCGGGACTTGCAATTCCACATATTCCAATCGGACCAGTCTCGAGAGCTCGAGCAAAAGCGTGCATTGAAAAATTGCAAGGCCTAATAAAGAAATTAGAGAATTGGAGCCCAACCAACGGACTATGTTACAACATGCGAGGACTTGATGGAAAGCCTAGGGCGAGTGCCGTGGTTGTAAAGGTTACATTGGAGCTTGCAACGCCTCGACCGGAAAACTAACGGAAAAGTTGTGCAAACCTAGGAGTTTGCTAAAATAGAGGGTTTAATAGGTAATTATATAAACCTAAGTTGCACATGCTTAAGTGGGGGGGGGGGCGACCATCTATTGGGACCACTTATACATATACATATATAATAAGCTCTCTCACATGCCTCTCACATGCAAGAGGGGACCATTAGCTATGTGTCAATCAATGAGAGGTTACTTAGTTATACTAAACCTATCCCACATTGGAAAATCACTCCACTTGCCCCTTCCCCCACTCCTATAAATAGGACTCTTAAGGTGCTTTGTAAAACACACCAAGCAAGAATATTTTTGTGAATATTTGATCTTTTATGCTCATTTCCTTTTATGGAAAGTTATGCTTGATAGCAATACTTTCTCTTTTAGTCTAATATTTCATGGAATGCAATTCCATTGCATGCTCCATGGGGTTTAGTTCAAAAATTCGGGTTTGAGTATAAAGCCTCAAGTTCGTGGCATTTGGGGAAGATGGAAGAGCTCTACAAAGTATCGACCGAGGTGGTGCCTTCGTGGAGGATGGTTCGATGCTAGAAGGGTATCGGGTCGTTCTTACGTTAGTACTTACTTAGGTTTGCTTCTCTTTCGATTATCCTTTTTCTCGCTTTATTCGTTTCCGCTTAGTTAATTTGTTCTTTTCTTTCTTACTTAGTTCCGCTTAGTTAGTTTATTCCGTGTCTTGTGTAGTTGATCAATTTCGGTCCATGACATATATTTAATTTTGGTATCAGAGCAGTTTGATCAATTTACACTATCTTTATTCCGAAAAAGTAAATAAAAAAAGAGTAAATTGTTGCAAAGAAAAGAAAAAAGAAAACCAAAATATTTTAAAAAAAATAAAATAAAATACAAAAACAAAATCGAGCGGGAGGACTAAAGCAATTTTTTGTTGATAATCTTGTTTGAGTTGTAGTTTTCTCATACGAGCTCCCGTTTTTCGCGTATGATATGTCATTGGAAAGCTTGTGAAGTGGGGAGAAAGTTATATTAATCAGTTTTTGTGAACTTGTAGTTGACGTTGATTATTCAGTTTTGGGTTTTTGAGTTTGGATCGATTTTGTGTTGTCATATTCGTTTGACACGTTTTAGAAGGGGTTGAGTATTGTGGTGATTTTGTGGTTGTTGAGATCTATTCAGCTTGTGTTTGTTGTTGACTTTCTTAGTTCCGGCATTTGTGTGTTGTATACGTTTGTTCATTCGTTCGTGAATGAATGAGCTTGGTTCTTTGCATTGCATGATTGACACTATCTTGAGCTTTCTTTGATTGAGTCTTGTTTAAAGTTTCTTGTCCACTTTAAACACGTACGTCACTCAGGTTCCACCGTTACGACTCCATCAAGGCACACTTTAAGAGCTTGGAAACTCTATCCATTTGTCGAGAGGTATACACGAGTGTGCGAGTGGGGGGGAATTGTGAGAACTAACTTTCAATATACATATATTAGTTTGTTTTGGTGCAGGTATGGCTTCGTTGGATGATATCTTGGCTGCGATAAATAAGCAAAGCAAAGATATGCGAGATATTAAAGACGAGTTAGGTGGAAAGATGGATAGCATGACATCTCGTGTGGATCAGCAAGGTCGAGAGATACATGACCTACGGAGTCAAGTTGATCATGTTCGAGATGACATAAATGATGTTGTGGATGCTCGGATGAAGGCTTATGCGGAGGCCTAGTTAAGGAAGGTTGATCAAAACATGGAAAAGAAACTCGATGAGGTTTTCGATAAGGTTGCTACTCTTGAAGAAAGGGGAAGTCATAGTGATGCTAGACGTGAAGAAATCCACCTTGGCAAGCAACCTATGGGCTCAACAAGTGTTTTCCCAAATCGATCTATCCAAGTTGATGATTTTGGCGAAAGGCGTCATACTAGTCCAAGGCCTACATCTATCCAAGGCCGACGAGGAAGACGGGATGCTACCAAAGAGTTACTTGATGAATTTGACTTGGAAGAAGATATCCATAACCGAAGGAGCCGAGTTCGAGTTAATGAGGTTGATGATAACATGCAGTCCATCAAGTTCTCCATACCACCTTTCGTAGGATCGGCTGAACCTAATGAGTTTCTTGAGTGGAAAAGCAAAGTGGAGATGATGTTTGCATGTCATAATTACTCGGAGCGCAAGAAAATTCAGCTTCCTGTTGTGGAGTTTAAGGAGTATGCTCTTGTTTGGTGGGAGAAGATACAAGCTGATATTGCAAGGTTCGGAATGCCTCCGATTGAGACATGGGCAGCCCTTACTCGAGCTATGCATGCACGTTTTGTGCCCCCGCATTATCGGATGGATCTTCTTCAGAAAATTCAGTTTTTAGTCCAAGGTAGCAAGACGGTTGAGCAGTACTACAAGGAAATGGAGATACTTATGATGCGGGCTCAGCTTGTGGAAGATGATGGAGTCACCATGTATCGGTTTCTCAAAGGGCTGAGGCGTGATATTATGATTCAAGTGGATATTATCCTTACAATTCTACTTTGGAACTTGTCCAACTTGCTACCAAGATTGAATCGCATGGAAAGGTAGGAGTAAGTGTGAGCTTTGGAAAGACGTCACCAAATTTCAACAAGTTTGGGGGTAATACGGGACCAACAAAATCTTGGCCCAAAGGAGATGATAAGCACACGACCAAGAATGAGCCTCTTAAGGTGGTTAAGCGTGATGAACCAAGGAAAGTCAGCAAGGATGGTTCACCAAACAAAGCAAAGGAAGTCACATGCTTTAAGTGTCAAAGGAAAGGTCATTATGCCAATACATGCCCTAATGTGCGAACTGTTGTGCTTTGTGACAATGGGGACTATGTACTTTTGTCGGATGATGTGGGTGAAGATTGGGAACATGAAGTTGAGGCGAGTGAGGATGAAGTAATCCAAGAGACGGAAGAGCACGTTGAAGAGGATTCATCCGGGGAGTCTCTAGTGGTTTTGCGAATGCTTGGAGCAGTTCCCAAGGAGTCGGAAAATTTTGTTGATCGGGTTAAGGAGCAACGGGAGAATTTGTTCCATTGTCGGTGCAAGATTGGTGGGAAGCGAGCGTCGATAATCATTGATAACGGAAGTTGCACCAATGTCGTAAGTTGGTATGTGGTAGACAAGCTTGGACTCCAAACTATCAAGCATCCAACTCCATACCATCTTCAATGGATGAACTCTAGTGGAGATATGAAGATCACTAGGCAAGCCAAAGTTCCAATTTCAATCGGCCCCTACAAAGAGGATGTCCTTTGTGATGTTACTCCGATGACCGCATGCCATGTGCTTCTTGGCCGACCATGGCAATCCGATAAAGGAATTATCTATGATGGCAAGACTAACAAAGTTAGATTTTATGACAAGGGCTACAAGGTAATGATTCCTTCTTTGCCATTGAAGGAGGTTCGAAAAGATCAAGAAAGTTTGCGAAAGAAGATGCAAGAGGCTGAAAGCCTTAAAAGAGCTAAAGGAAAAGAAGTATCCACAGAGGAAAAGAGAGAGTCTACTGCTAAGGGTTCCAACATCCTTCTTTCACTTACCGATTTTTAGAGAGAAGTTGGTGACCTAGATCATCAAAAGGGGGGTTGTTTTATGTTGTTATGCAAAGATTTATTTCATTCTGATAAAGATAATCTACTCACTAATTTTCCCATTCCCTTTGCTAGGATGCTTGAAGAGATGAAGGATGTATACTCGGAGGAACTAACGCAAGGACTACCGCCAATTCGTGGGATAGAGCATCAAATTGACTTCGTACCCGGTGCTTCGATCCCAAATCGTCCTGCGTATTGGTGCAACCCAGATGAGAATAAGGAGATTCAAAAACAAGTCCAAGAACTTCTTGAGAAGGGATGGGTTCGGGAGAGCTTATCACCATGTGCTGTTCCTGTTATCATTGTCCCCAAGAAGGATGGAACTTGGAGGATGTGTGTGGATTGTAGAGCGGTGAATGCAATTACAATTAAGTATCGACACCCAATCCCGCGCCTTGATGACTTGCTTGATGAGATCAATGGAGCGAGAATCTTCTCCAAGATTGACCTTCGGAGTGGATACCACCAGATTCGTATGCAACCCGGCGATGAGTGGAAGACGGCATTTAAAACAAAGCTAGGTTTGTACGAATGGTTGGTAATGCCATTCGGTCTAACTAATGCTCCTAGTACCTTCATGCGTTTAATGAATCATGTTCTACGTGCTTTCATTGGTAAATTTGTTGTAGTATACTTTGACGATATTCTTGTCTACAGTAGAAGTGAAAAGGAACATGTGGAGCATGTGCGACTCGTCTTTCAACGGTTAAGGGAAGAACAACTCTATGCTAATTTTAAAAAGTGCATATTCCAAACTAATGAAGTTGTTTTCCTTGGGTTTGTAGTTAGCGAGGATGGCTTGAAGGTTGATGAAACGCGTACGTCACTCAGGTTCTTTGCATTGCATGATTGACACTATCTTGAGCTTTCTTTGATTGAGTCTTGTATAAAGTTTCTTGTCCACTTTAAACGCGTACGTCACTCAGGTTCCACCTTTACGACTCCATCAAGGCACACTTTAACAGCTTGGAAACTCTATCCATTTGTCGAGAGTTATACACACGAGTGTGCGAGTGGGGGGGCAATTGTGAGAACTAACTTTCAATCTATAACATGCTATATAATATAAAGGAAAAACATTGAAAAAACAAACGCGCTAAATATACTAATTTCGAACACTCTACAACAAATACGAAACGCACTGCAATTAGAACTGTCTAGCACAAAGTATAATCTATAACATGCTAGATAATATAAAGGAAAAACATTGAAAAAACAAAAGCGCTAAACATACTAATTTCGAAGACTCTACTACAAATACGAAAAGCACTGCAATTAGAACTATCTACCACTAAGTAAGGATAATCTATAACATGCTATATAATATAAAGGAAAAACATTGAAAAAACAAAAGCGCTAAATATAATAATTTCGAGCACTCTACAACAAATACGAAAAGCACTGTAATTAGAACTATAGAGCACAAAGTAACTATAATCTATAACATGCTATATAATATAAAGGAAAAACACTGAAAAAAAAAAAACGCTAAATAGATTAATTTCGAACACTCTACAACAAATACGAAAAGCACAGCAATTATAACTATCTACCACAAAGTAAGTATAATCTATAATATGCTATATAATATAAAGGAAAAACATTGAAAAAACAAAAGCGCTAAATATACTAATTCGAAAACTCTACAACAAATACAAAAAGCACTGCAATTAGAACTGTCTAGCACAAAGTATAATCTATAACATGCTAGATAATATAAAGGAAAAACATTGAAAAAACAAAAGCGCTAAACATACTAATTTCGAAGACTCTACTACAAATACGAAAAGCACTGCAATTAGAACTATCTACCACTAAGTAAGGATAATCTATAACATGCTATATAATATAAAGGAAAAACATTGAAAAAACAAAAGCGCTAAATATAATAATTTCGAGCACTCTACAACAAATACGAAAAGCACTGTAATTAGAACTATAGAGCACAAAGTAACTATAATCTATAACATGCTATATAATATAAAGGAAAAACACTGAAAAAAAAAAAACGCTACGCTAAATATATTAATTTCGAACACTCTACAACAAATACGAAAAGCACTGCAATTATAACTATCTACCACAAAGTAAGTATAATCTATAATATGCTATATAATATAAAGGAAAAACATTGAAAAAACAAAAGCGCTAAATATACTAATTTCGAAAACTCTACAACAAATACAAAAAGCACTGCAATTAGAACTGTCTAGCACAAAGTAAGTATAATCTATAACATTCAATATAATATAAAGGAAAAACATTGAAAAACAAAAGCGCCAAATATACTAATATCGAACACTCTACAACAAATACGAAAAGAACTACAATTAGAACTATGGAGCACAAACTAAGTATAATCTATAACATGCTATATACTATAATGGAAAAACATTGAAAAAACAAAAGCGCTAACTATACTAATTTCGAACACACAACAAAAAATACGAAACGCACTGCAATTAGACTATAGAGCACAAAGTAAGTATAATCTATAACATGCTATATAATATAAAGGAAAAATATTGAAAAAACAAAAGCGCTAAATATACTAATTTCGAACACTCTACAACAAATAAGAAAAACACTGCAATTAGAACTATCTAGCACAAAGTAAGTATAATCTATAACATGGTATATAATATAAAGGAAAAACATTAAAAAAACAAAAGCGCTAAATATACTAATTTCGAAGACTCTACAACAAATACGAAAGGCACTGCAATTAGAAGTATAGAACACAAAGTAAGTATAATGTAAAACATGCTATATAATATAAAGGAAAAACATTGAAAAAACAAAAGCGCTAAATATACTAATTTCGAACACTCTACAACAAATACGAAAAGCACTACAATTAGAACTATAGAGCACAAACTAACTAGAATCTATAACATGCTATATACTCTAAAGGAAAAACCTTGAAAAAACAAAAGCGCTAAATATACTAATTTCAAACACTCTACAACAAATACGAAAAGCACTGCAATTAGAACTATCTAGCACAAAGTAAGTATAATCTATAACATGCAATATAATATAAAGGAAAAACATTGAAAAACAAAAGCGCTAAATATACTAATATCGAACACTCTACAACAAATACGAAAAGCACTACAATTAGAACTATGGAGCACAAACTAAGTATAATCTATAACATGCTATATACTATAATGGAAAAAATTGAAAAAACAAAAGCGGTAAGTATACTAATTTCGAAAACTTACAACAAATACGAAAAGCACTGCAATTAGAACTATGAAGCACAAACTAAGTATAATCTATAACATGCTATATACTATAAAGGAAAAACATTGAAAAACAAAAGCGCTAAATATACTAATTTCGAACACTCTACAACAAATACGAAAAGCACTACAATTAGAACTATGGAGCACAAAGTAAGTATAATCTATAACATGCTATATACTATAAATGAAAAACATTGAAAAAACAAAAGCGCTAAATATACTAATTTCGAACACTCTACAACAAATACGGAAAACACTGAAATTAGAACTATCTTGCACAAAGTAAGTATAATCTATAACATGCTATATAATATAAAGGAAAAACAATGAAAAAAAAAGCGCTAAATATACTAATTTCGAACACTTACAACAAATACGAAAAGCACTGCAATTAGACATATAGAGCACAAAGTAAGTATAATCAATAACATGCTATATAATATAAAGGAAAAACATTGAAAAAACAAAAGCGCTAAATATACTAATTTCGAACACTATACAACAAATACGAAAAGCACTACAATTAGAACAATAGAGCACAAAGTAAGTATAATCTATAACATGTTATATAATATAAAGGAAAAACATTGAAAAACAAAAGCGCTAAATATACTAATTTCGAACACTCTACAACAAATACGGAAAACACTGCAATTAGAACATTCTAGCACAAAGTAAGTATAATCTATAACATGCTATATAATATAAAGGAAAAACATTGAAAAACAAAAGCGCTAAATATACTAATTTCGAACACTCTACAACAAATACGAAAAGCACTACAATTAGAACTATGGAGCACAAAGTAAGTATAATCTATAACATGCTATATAATATAAAGGAAAAACATTGAAAAAACAAAAGCGCTAAATATACTAATTTCGAACACACACAAAAAATACGAAAAGCACTGCAATTAGACTATAGAGCACAAAGTAAGTATAATCTATAACATGCTATATAATATAAAGGAAAAACATTGAAAAAACAAAAGCGCTAAATATACTAATTTCGAACACTCTACAAAAAATAAGAAAAACACTGCAATTAGAACTATCTAGCACAAAGTAAGTATAATCTATAACATGCTATATAATATAAAGGAAAAACATTAAAAAAACAAAAGCGCTAAATATACTAATTTCGAACACTCTACAACAAATACGAAAAGCACTGCAATTAGAAGTATAGAACACAAAGTAAGTATAATCTAAAACATGCTATATAATATAAAGGAAAAACATTGAAAAAACAAAAGCGCTAAATATACTAATTTCGAACACTCTACAACAAATACGAAAAGCACTACAATTAGAACTATAGAGCACAAAGTAAGTATAATCTATAACATGCTATATACTATAAAGGAAAAACCTTGAAAAAACAAAAGCGCTAAATATACTAATTTCAAACACTCTACAACAAATACGAAAAGCACTGCAATTAGAACTATCTAGCACAAAGTAAGTATAATCTATAACATGCAATATAATATAAAGGAAAAACATTGAAAAACAAAAGCGCTAAATATACTAATTTCGAACACTCTACAACAAATACGAAAAGCACTACAATTAGAACTATGGAGCACAAACTAAGTATAATCTATAACATGCTATATAATATAATGGAAAAAATTGAAAAAACAAAAGCGCTAAATATACTAATTTCGAAAACTTACAACAAATACGAAAAGCACTGCAAT